AGCTGCAGGTTACTTTGAGACAGTCGTCCCAAATGCATTAGAGGAACTGTAAAAATCTGCCACAGAAAGAACGATGATCCACAGTCAGAAAAGTTACTGGAGCTTAAACAGGAAACCCTCTGGTTCAGGACAGTCATAGCCACAGCTTGCAAAAAGTGCAGCTATTGATTAATGCAATGTAGTGTCAATTAGATGTACATTCCTGAGGTCTTTTATCCGTTGTAGCTTTGTCTTTTTCTTTCTTTTCATTACATCAGGTATATTGCCCTACAAATTGTGGTAGCAGCACCAAGAATAAAAAGGAATTTTTAACTTTTCAAAAAAAAAAAAAAGAAAAAACATGTGTCCAACTTATTTAAGAGTATGGGGAAAAGGAAAGAAAGCAAAAGAAAAAAAAAAGAATAAAAGAAAAAAATTGAAACAAAGCTTTTATAAGTGAGGGGAAGAGACTGAAGAAGGGATTCAGGGAAAAAAGAAAAGTCAAGAAACATCACATATAGGTACAAACTTCCTCTAATTAATGTGATGGTTATGTATTATCTAAAATGCACCAATAAATTTAATTTTTTAAAGTACATTATATGCAGCAAGCAGCTAAATAAAGGTTATTGTTAGCTAGTACTAATTTGCTAGTAAAGATAGCAATATTAAAGGTCACAAGCATCACAAATGGTCCTCTCAGACTATACCTGAGTGGGTGTGGCCAGGCCCTCTATAAAGGAAGGAGTGATGTTGCCTGCTACCATCCAGCTCACCAAAGAAGATAGCAGACTCCTGTCACAGTGGTAACCCAAAGCATTCTATATCAGGAACAGAGAAAGGAAGCTTTTTAAAAATAAAAATTATAATAACTTCATCATAACTCTTTCAAGAGTATTAGCAACTATCTCATCATTTCTATGGAAGATTCTGTCATGACACAGATTTGAGGAAAGAATCTAGCAGCAGCACCCTGGTCATAGGCACTGTACCACAGATAAATATAATAAGCAGAGCTTTTCCAGGCTATCCACTCTTTTGAGATCCCTGGGATCTCTGCTAGTAGACTGATTACTAAGATATTATTAAAGCAAAGCTTAGAATAAGTAGTGGCTACTGAGTAATATCAAAAATTGTGCATTTAAGGGAACTTTTTAGAAAGTTACTATCTAGTCAATGGCTAAAAAATAAATTCTCTAACAGATTACCTTATGTTGTTGGTAGAGTAACTTCTGTATACAGTCTTCCTGCATTAACTGAAAAGCTGTTTTACACAAGTGATCCATGAGGAAGAGGATAGGCTGTTCTCGGTACCAAAGATGCTGGCTTATGAGAGCCTGAACCCAGAACTCTAACACAGCAACAGGACCCACTTCATTTGGCTGAGTGCTTACTGATATGTGTGCCTGTGAAAAAGTGGTTTAGCTAATGAGAAAAGTAATAACCAGCCTCCCACTATTAAAACACCAGTAAAGTACCATCTACCTCCACTGAAGCCCAAATATGTTGGTCTCTGAGCCAAAAGCACTGTACCAAGTGACTCAAAATGACATCATCTATGTGTTAGCACCAGATGTTTTGGTTGGAAAAACAGGCAAAAATATACTTAGGGGCTTGCAAGGGCCCTAACCTGGATCATGCTGTTGAGAAGCTTCACGTTGTCCCCGTGGCTGGTTCCCGTTAGGTGCTGTGCCACCTTGTGGGTGACCTGCTGTGTGACACCCTGAGGTACTCCGCTGTCCAAGTGTAGGAACAGGAGAAGGTGTGACAAAAACCTGCAGAGCACACAGGATTGCACACTTTACCTTTCCATCAGGAGTCAGCAGAATTGTCAGTAGTCAATTATTTATTAGGAAAGAGAAAAATGTTACTGACTCCATTTTTGGACCAAATGCTATTTAGAGATTCTGATAAATCTTCAGGAATTTCAGAAGAATACAAAGTTTTCACATTTAACATGGGACAACTATCCCCAAAGTTTCATGGAAATAACTGCTCTTTTAAACACTAGCAAGCTTCAATAAACAACCCAAAGTTAATTGAAAAGACATAGCTTACATGATGATAAAACTGTAATCATTATGTGTCCCTGCACCAACCTGCATAAAGTGGGGTACAGAAGTTTTCTGCCTCATAAAAATATACACTGCTCTGAAACATCATTCCTTTTTTAGTTCAGAAACCAGAAGATAGTCAGTCACTCGTACTTGCAGGGTTATTTCCAAAGGATGCTGCCTGCACAGAGAACAAACTTACTGCTCATTCTTCAGAAGGTAACACTGGCAAGGGTAGAACAAAGGAAGAATCTTATCCAGGACATGCACCACCGTTCTCAAATGCCTTGTTTGGATCAGAATTCCCAGCAGTGGGATGCCTTCTACACAGAACTTCACAATGCTATGGAAAAAGAAAAGACAATGAGCACATATAAAATCAAATTTTATGAACTAGCTCAGGATCAGCTCAGGGCTCAAACACATTTTTAAACCCAAGGGGCCGGGGAGATGGCTCAGTGGAATAAGTGCTTCCCCGACAAACCAAGAGCCTGAGTTCAATCCTCGGTTCTGCAAATAAATGAATAAACCCAATCACACAGAAATACTAGATTCTGCAAGTACAACAAACATAGAAGTTCACCTACCTCTATCAATGTAAAATATTTTGTACCTGCTTTATGATATGTAGTAGTGATTGTGCTTTATGAGAGCTATTTTTAATGATGTTACACTACAATGCTTTTTTCAGAGGATGATTAAGAAGTTAATTTTTAAAAAATGGTGCCAGGTACCACAACAGCAACAGCACTTTCTGTTTTCTGGAAATTTTTCTTTTTTTTTAATATAGTATGCTGGATTTCTATTGTTTTGTTTACATGACTGCAGAACCTGGAAGAGCCAATGCTCTTACTGATTCATGACACACTGCTATTATTGGCCTTCTTATCTAAATATAAAATTTGAATTTTTAGAAACTGCTGTCAACTTTGGAAAAAGTTATCCCAGTTTACTGTATTGAGTTGGGACTGTACAGAAATTACCAGCCACAGTGATCTAGCAATGTTAATTTTCTCCCATTTGTACAGGCATAGTATGTTATATGAGATATATATAAGGTCTTATCCATGCTGATTTGATCACAGAAACTAATATAGTATCCTCTAAATAAAAAAGTTCACCTATATTTTCATTTTATAGATGAAAAAGGAAAACTCAATTTTGTTTCTCAGAAGTCTTTTTTTTTTTGCTCCGAATGCCTTCAGGGCAGGTTTGGCTGGCTTGAGTTGTGGGGATCCAACCACAGCAACCTGAGGCTGACTGCTTTGTTGAAGCAGCCACTTAAACAACTGAGCTACGGAACAGGCCCCCAGTGCTTCTTCTAAGAGTCTGGTCTTAGGTGCTCTCCTCTAGATACTCCCACAAGTTACTACAGCAAAGGCAGGATTCAAAAATGAACTGGATTCTTCAGCATAAACTGGAAAAATTCCTCTAAAACCAATTTGGAGTACAAATCTTCTATCTTTAATTCATTTTGGAGATTCTATTCTAAAGAAATGTCAAATATAGAAAAAACTATAAAAGATGATCCATGTAAAGATATACTTTTCATACTTATTTATAACTGCAAAACTAAAATACAAAAACGACAAGTAAATCTGGGGGAAATTCATTACAAGGGAATCTTACAACATCATTTTAAAATAATACATATGATAATGATACTGGGGGAAAATGTAAGATTTTATGCTTGTGATTACAACTGCTATTTAAAAACATTAGGTATTCTGGCCTGTTTGGGATGTCTATCATCATAGCTACTCAGAAGGCTGAGATGGTTTGCAAGTTCAAGACCAGCGTAAGCACCTTAGCAAAACTATCTCAAAATAAAGAAGGACCAAGGATGTAGCTCAGCAGTAGACCATTTGCATAGCATGTGTGAGCTTCTGAGCTGCTGGTTCCCTGTAGGACAAATTTCAAATTTGTCTGTAATCTAGCCCTATCAACCACCTAATCACTTCTGCCCTTCCATAGGAATCACGAGCTTTGGTCAGGAATGTTCCCTCGTTTCCCCTCTTCTCACTGTCCCCACTTAGACACTGACTGCTCCTTCTCACAACACTGCATCTACTCAAATTTGCTGACTATCTCCTAAGTATAAGTTCTAGAGACAAAAAGATGAATAAGACAAAGCCCCTAACAAGAAAGCTCTATGGATTTATTAAAACTTTATCTGAAATATGTGTGTGTGTGTGTGTGTGTGTGTGTGTGTGTGTGTGTGTATCAAGGTCAAATTCTGAGCCCAGTGTTGTTGTTTTTTTTCCTTTGGTATTTTCTAGGGAAGGGTCTACAGGGTCTCACTACTAGATCAGACTCATAGTGATCCACCTGTTTACAGCCTCCCAAGAGCTGGGATTACACAGCAGGCCCAGGAATTGAACCCCTGGTCCCTGTGCCTGCTTGCAGACGCTTTAATCTGCTGAGCTAATTGGCCGGCCCCAAGCCTGCTGATTAAATGAGGGCTCAGGAGAAATATATATATATAT